AGCATCGTTCTGCTGTGAATCACCAAGGTGGCACACGCATGCCACCACTCCCAAGGGTCGGCACCCTGCCGGGCCTGTCTCCAACTTCCTCCACCTCTGCAAAGCACCTGGCATCTGGAGACTTGAGATCACTTCATCATTTCCAAGTTAAACAGGGGCAGAACTAGGAGCTGACTGCTCTGTCCTGTTGGTGAGGGTCTCTAAACCCCAACATCAAGGGCATTGTGTGCTGAGGACAGTGCAGGATATTTAGCAGCACCCTTGGCCTCTGCCCGCTAATTATCAGTAGTATTCTTCCCCCCATCCCCACCAAGTCTGACCATCAGAAATGTGTCTGTGCGTTGCTGAATAGTAAATCTCCTCTGGTTGAGAACCACCATCTCAGGGAATGCTTAGGGCCGAACTGAGAAATCGCCATGCCTTCTACAAGTTTGTGCTTTAGCCACTGGCAGAAACTTACAGCTGGTTTGGGAAGACAGTATATGAATGCCATGAATCCTCAGGGTTTAAATACCAGCAAAGCCAGCCCATACGCTCCACCTCTGACGACCGCTCACCTGCACGGCTACAGATTAGCACTGGGAAAACTGAAGGAATAAGACCACACTTGCTGGTTCGGAGAGCAGCATTACAGCGAGTCTCTCGCTGTGGAGTTCTGGCATTATTAGGCCTCATTTCTCCTTTTGTTGCAGAAATGTGAAATGGGAGTGCCAGAATTCCTGGTTAGGACCCAGGGAAATGCCGTGTACTACTTCAGAGCAAGAAACGCAGATCTCACAAACAATTCAGAAGACAGCCACAGCCCAAAGGGGACTGCTCTGGTTCCCTCCGCACTGTGCTGGGTGGGCTGGTGCCAGACACCACACGCTGGGTGTGCTGACTGCAGTCCCCAGGTAGAAGAGGGGAAAGTCAGGACAGATTGCCATCTCGCGGCTGTGATTTTCCTGGTCCTTCGTGTTAGTTTAGGGGAAGGTTTTCTCATACAAGATGACTCCCAGGAGCTCTGTCAAGAACCAAAAAACAAATAAAACAGAAACAGAAAACCACCGAAACCCACTGCTTTCTCATGAGGCCAAGATCAGATGAGGGGCCTGGTGCTTTGTTGTCCTAACCTGCACAGGCTAGACAGAAGGGCTGTCGCTGGCCTGAGAGCCAGCCAGAGCCCTGTCCATGCTGCCTCCCATGGGCCCCGAATCTGAGGCACCTGGAAGGGTTATTAGCAGGATTGGAACTCATCCCTCTGCTGGGACTGGATCATAATTACAGTAATTTTCTAACAGAGCTCGGCAGTAGGACTGTTTAATCAGCATCTGACTCCCTTGTGCTCCCAGCCCTCATCACTCAAGGAGAGGAGTGGGATGGCTCTTAAAGAGACAGCGCCCGCCTTTCAGCGTTTTGAACAGATGTGCCCTAATTGGTAGAATATATCTAAGTCTCGTAGCTTATAGCAGGCAGGTTGCATTGCCATCAACAAAGTGCCTCAGGCTCTCACCATTCTGGGCCTTCTGCCGGAAGGATCCAGGTCAGGCTGGCTTGCTATCCCAACATGGCCACCAGGGGAAGGGACACACACAAGGGCTAGAGCACCCAAAGAAGGTTCCGAAAAAGTCCTTGGCTGATGGATGGGGAGGAGCGACTCGACAGCCATGCTTGAAAAGAAATGTTGGCTGACGGTATCCCATAATCCAAGATCAAAGAAGCATCTTGTATTCTTCCTCTTCCCAGTCAAAAAACCTTCAGAACTGTCCAGTAGTCTCTCCCCATACACCTAGCTTTCCCACCTCGCCTCACTATCTGTGCCCCTTTCATTACCAGGAAGGCACTCCTGGTCTTGCTCCTCCTTTGCTGTGAAAGTAGACCAGACCTTCCGTGAACCTAAGAGAGGTGAAATAATTTACTCCGCACACTGTCTCAAGTGTGACTCATTATCCTTTTGACCATAACTTGTCTGTGTTTATTACATCTTGTGATTCAAGGTCTCCAGTTTTCCAGCTCCAAATCCAGCCATGGCAAAGGGGCATTGTTTTTCCTCATGAGAAGTTATTTCTCTAATAAGATGCTAAGACTGGTTCCCACCACCCTGTTGGTCAGCCAAATGCATATTCGTTTTTGTGGCAGGTCTCTAAACAATTCTTTAGAGAGAAGAGGTGGAGTAGAAAGTACATGAGTGCTAAGAGGTGGGTTGGGACTTCCAAAACAGGTTGAGAAAACTGTCAGAAAATAAGGTATAGTGGGTAAGAATAGGAAGGAGCACTCGTCCATGCTTCAGAGAAAGGTTACCTTGAGAAAGGCTAAGTGGCTTCCACGGAACAGACTCTGCTGGCAGAGGGCCGCCCGCCAGCTTAGGATCACAGCCCAGTGCTCGACCAAGAAAGTGCTATCTCGCACTGCAGTGGTTATCTGCTTGGCTGTGGCTGCGTCTCAGCTGGCTGCTTGTTCATAAACCCACTGATGCCACTCCAGCCTCTGATTAAATGCTCTTGCAGCCTCCCTGAGGCAGGCCAGGAGCAGGTCTATCACCTATCCACAACCCCACCTCACCTCCTTCAGGCCCATCATTTGCCCCACCCCTAGGGTGTAAGAATACTCAGCAAGGGGTTCAGCATACAGTGTAATGGCTATGTCGCTGGTCTCCCATGAAGTCAATCACAGTTCGAATCCCAGACCCGGTGGCTTAAACTCACACTGGGCACGTGTGTGTACTTGCCCACGGTCCTGAGAGGAGAATGGAGGAGAAGGGATTGCGGTGTGGCCATCCCCTCAGGGGGGTGATTTCTTGCTTTCTGTCTCTCTTTCTGGTGAGCACATGCACCTTATAGCAAAAACCTCACCAAAAAAAAAACTCAGCAAGAGCAGAGTCGTATAAGCAAATTCACAAACATGGAGCTAACCTAATGCCTAGTCAGAGAGCTACAAAGTCATGATCACTGGGACCAGCAAGTGGCATGGTGGTTGGGGCACTGGACACTCCCACGTGGCCGACCATGATTTGAGCCCCAGACCAAGCGGCTTGCTTTCAGGCTCTGTATGTGTGTGTGTGTGTGTGTGTGTGTGTGTGTGTGTGTTTGTGTGTGTGTGTTTCTCCTTCTGATCAAATTAAAAAAGAGATAAATGAGTAAATTTTTTTTAAAAGTCATGATCACCTCCTGAGCAAAGCCACCAGGAAGGGCAGGAAGTGCCTAGGACTCAGTGGTGTGTACTTAAGGCCCTATCATTCAGAAAACAAAGGACAGTGAATGAGCTCTGATTTCCCAGAATGACTAGGAAAAGCTCTGCAGGGGATTTTCTGAGTGTCGTGGTAGATTTAACTTAAAACAAAAAGTTATTTGAGGAAAAAAGAAAAAATCTTAAGAGAACTCGGAAACCTCTCATGTGAATATACTTTACTATCACCTAAAAACACTCAGTTCTGTTTTCTCATCTGGAACATGAATGTGATACCTCCCACCCTCCTCACTGAGCACTGAGGTCAAATAAAATGACGTGTATAAGGGCTGGTTCTTCAGCATAGTGGTTGAAAGAGGAGGATTCCAGAAGGCTAATGGTGGTTCAAATCCCAGCCCTGGCAGCTTGACAAATCATGCTGGGCACATACAAGTGCTTGCATGCTCAAAATCCTGATGTGATAGAGAAGTGGACGAGAAGGGATTGCAGTGTGACCATCCTCCATGGAGAGTGCTTTCTCCCTCCCTCTCTCTGGTAATCTCAAGTACCCTCTGCCAGGGACCAGCAGTTGGCATAATGGCTATGTCGCTGGACTTCCATGTAGCCGACCACGGTTGGGGTCCTGGACCCGGTGGCTTAAACTCACACTGGGCCGAGAGGAGAATGGAGGAGAAGGGATTGCGGCATGGCCATCCCCCCTGGGGGGTGATTTCTTGCTTTCTGTCTGTCTCTCTCTGTCTTTCAGGCGAGTGCATGCACCCTAACCCTATAGCAAAAACCTCTTAAAAAAAAAAAACTGATCCATATGAAACGTACTAGTTTGATATAAGAAAACACCCCCTCCACACACACATACTTCCTTCCAACAAATAAAACATGAGATTGGATCACTTTTCCTTGGTAGTAGATAACTAAACTTAAGCCATGGAAGTAGCTATCAAAAGGAAGGTGACTAGGGACCAGCAGTTAGTGTAATGGCTGTGTCGCTGGACTCCCATGTAGCCAAATGTGGTTCGAGTCCCAGACCCAGTGGCTTAAACTCAAGCCGGGTGCGTGTGCGTGCATGCCCAAGATCCCAAGAGGAGAATGGAGGAGAAGGGATTGCGGCATGGCCATCCCCCCTGGGGGGTGATTTCTTGCTTTCTGTCTCTCTGTCTGTCTCTGTCTTTCTGGCGAGTGCATACGCCCTATAGCAAAAACCTCTCAAAAAGGAAGGAAGGTGACTAAATCAGGCATAGAACTTCCTCACCCCCCTACCCCCACCCCAAGGGATGGCCACACTGCAATCCTTTCTCCTCCATTCTCCTCTTGGGATTTTGGGAATGCATGTGTCTGGTGTGAATTTCAAGCTGCCGGGTCTAGGACTCAAACCACAAATCGGCCATATGCGATCTAGCCTCCTCAACCTCCACACCACCTGCTGGCCCACTCAAACCTAAATTCTAAAAACATACCTTCATTCTACAAAACAGCTCAGTGGGCCACTCTGTGCAGCTAGCTAATCTTTTTATTTTTAAATTTTGCTATAGGATGCATGTGCTCACTGGAAAGACAGAGGAAAGGGGGAGTAAAAAAGCACGCCCCAGAGAGGATGGTCACACAGCAGCTCCTTCTCCATTCTCCTCTCAGGATTTTAGGTGTGCACACCACTACATCCATTGAGTCTGGGGCTCAGACCACTCAGTTGGCCGTGTGAGATCCAGCCAGCTTAACCACCATGCCCCTAGCTCATTTCATACAGGGTCACCCAGCCACAGTGGCTAGACCTGAGCACACTCTGAGATCAAGCAAAACACAATGGGTACCATACGGTGCCGACAAGATGGAGAGAAAAGTGCATGTTTACTTTCACTTTTTATTCTGGTAATTCCAGGCCTGTCTTATTAGAAAAACGCTTCCCTTCTTGATTTATCTCATTGCACAGCCTACATCCAACTCAGCACAAGCGCAAAAGAGGATGGTGCCTGGCCTTAGATTAACTGAGGTGCTGCTGTATGCACTGCTGCTAATGGATCATTCAAAAAGCTGGGAGTCAGAAAAATCACGTCCACGTCTTTGAATGGCTCCCGCTGTCCCAGCAGCCTAGCCTGCTGGTAGAACTAGCTGCTGAGCACCAACTCCAGGAAGAAAAGCAGCGAACAGAAGAAGGCCAACCCAGCTTGCTGTTTTTTGGCTGAGTAGGGAATTGACACAGACCACCTCCGGCTCCTGTCTGGAAGTTTCGAGATCAGAGAGCTTCAGGCACAGCTGGGTTCACAGCTGCACCATTTGGAGCATTGGACTCATTAATATTCATGAGCCGTCCCCACCAATCGGCAGAGCGGATGCCATTAGCTTAGCATCTGTCGGGTTTTTGTGAGGGTTGTGTATGGAGTTTTTTTTCCCTTTTTAAATGAACTTCTTTTGACATTTTGGATTTGCCTCTGTAGGTTTTCTATCCTCGCCTTGCTCTGCTGCATCATATAAAGGAGAGACCCAGGGGAGGCAGGCAGGAAAGAGGGATGAATACCAGCCAGGGCTTTGCATCTGCCTGTTGACAAACTTTATTTCTCTTTCAGCACCTGGCACCTCAGACAGACTGTGAGGATGGAAGCAGCATCAGGTAAATTATACCTAACAAGGTTCATGCCCAGAACTGTGAGAGGAGCTGGATCCTGACTCTCTGGAAGACAATCCTTCCTCCAGTGGTGAACTTAAGCTGCACACACAATGCAAGAGAGCTGCAGTGCACAGTTCTGACCCATTATTTCCACGCTGATAAATTCATGATTTATGAACATAACCACTGCCAGCCCTCACTCCCTCCTTCTTTGCTACAGCTTGTTAGACACAAATTGCAACAACAGTCTTAAATACTTGCATTTTATTTCAGGCCAAAGCCCCTCAACTCTGAACTAAATGCCATGACAGTCCCATAGCATAGGCTGGCAGTAAAAGAGCCCCCAGACAGGGCAGGATGGCAAGTGCAGGGACGGTGGGCGAGAAAGGGAAGAACCACGTGTACAAACCTAAGAGCAGAGCGATGCAGGATGCCCGTGGCTGCGGCCCACAGTGGCAGCACTCGGCTCCTGCCAGCCCTGGCTCTCAGTGGAGAGGAATTACGACAGCAGGAGAGCAGAATGCCTCATTGTCTGAGGGAAGGCGTGTTGTTCCTCATCTCCATCCCCAGAGTCCTCTCTTCCAGGGAGAAACAAAGCCCTAGCGCCCCACTGGATTGAACATACGGCCTCCCTGCAACAGCACACAGGGATGCTGGCGGCTGAAGCCCTGGAGGCAGGAAGCTGTCACTAAAGGAGAAGAAAAGGATTCAGAAAGAAGAGCTCACTCTCATCCAGCAGAAAAGATAGCCATGTCTCTGTTTTATAACCAGAAGAGACGGTGACAGGCCAGGACAACCTCTTCCCAAACAAAGCCCCAGAGGGAGTGGTTGCTTCCCCTCTAGTAATGGCCAACTATTCTCTCTCCCAGAAGACCATGAGCCCAGGCCCCATGAGCCGGGTTAAGCTCCTAGGATGTGCCAGAAACCTCAGTGACAGTAGTCATAGCACCAGTTTCAGTCAGTGGTATCAGAGGAGGAAAAAATCCAGGAGGTGGGAGAGTAAACATTCACCACCTTGTTCATGCGAGGAGGTAGGCAAGAGGCCAGCCTCCCACCAGTGCTTCAAGGGCTGCAGCAAAACCAGAAGCTGCCAAGATGGGATAGGACATGGCACTGACAATCTGCCACTTACAAGTCCCCAAAACCTGTCACTTGAGGCAGTGCTCCTGGACCTGTGAACAAACACCTGAAGAAACTCAGCCCCTAGGAGAATACGGGTTCCGTTAAGAATCAACAGCCCCTGGGCCTTACTCTTAACTTATGAACACCAGCACAGTGTTTGTTCCTATGGAGGCAGGAGCAACTGTCATGACTGACCTCTGCAAACAGCACCAGTAGCGGCGACTGTCAGATGCTAAGCAGCCCACCTGCCCTACACCTGCCCTGTGCCCAATTCCACCTGAGTAAGTCTCTTGGCCTACATCTCCATCTGCCACGGAGCAGAACCCAGAGCTCAGACCAGACCTCACTTTCCCAAAACTGAATCTAACTGCCCAGGGTCCGAAGGCACAGCATGGTCTCCTCCCACCGCCCTCCTCATAGACTGAGGAGTGGAGGTTCCTTCATCAGGTCTTGCAAAATCACAGCATGATGGCGAAGAGAGGGGTGGAAGCGTGGGACTTTCCAAGGAAGGAACCTCAGAGTCAACAACAGGAGCCCACACTTCTAAAGGGTCCTTTTTTTCGCTGGGAGGCGGAGAGGGAGAACTCTTCCTACCCGATCTTGGAAGAAAGCAGCAACTGGAAGAGAATGGGAAAGGGTTAGGAAAGACAAACAGATACACAAAAATAACGAGGTAAACACAAGTGAACGGATAAACAAAATGTGGCTGGCTATATACCCAATATAAATGGAATGTTATTTGGTCGTAAAAAAGAATGAAGTATTGATGCACGCTACCACATGGATGAGCCTTAAAACATTATGCTAAGTCGGGACCAGCAGTTAGCGTAATGGCTATGTTGCTGAACTCCCATGTAGCCAACCGTGGTTTGAGTCCCGGACCCAGTGGCTTAAACTCACACTGGGCCCGTGTGTGTGCGTGCCCAAGATCCTGAGAGGAGAATGGAGGAGAAGGGATTGCGGTGTGGCCATCCTCCCTGGGGGGTGATTTCTCGCTTTCTATCTCTCTGTCTCTCTCTTTCTGGCAAGTGCATGCGCCCTATAGCAAAAACCTCTCAAAAAAATAAAATAAAATGTTTTAAAAAAATAAACGGAAGAAAAAAGAAAACATTATGCTAAGTGAAAAAAAATCAGTTACAAAATACCACATATCGTATGACACCATTTGTGTAAAATGTCCAGAACAGGCAAACTCATGGACATGGAAAATTACATTAGTGATTGCCAGGAGCTGGGTGGTTAGGAGATAAAGGCAAGTCACTGCTCATGGGCTTAGGGTTTCTTTTGAGGTAACCAAAATGTTCTAAAATTGACTGTGGTTGGTGACTGACAGTTGCATAACTCTGGGAATAAACTAAAAACTACTGAATTGTAAACTAAAAAGGTAGTTGTTATAGTGTGAGAATTCTATGTCAATAAAACTATTATTGGGTCGCTAGGAAAGTCATGACGTAAAGTACGTCATGTCTTTTCTGAGACCCGGTATTTGAAAAAGAGGTAGAGGGATAAAGAGCAGCGCAAGTGAGAAAGCTTTCCCCTTCTTCCCCCCAGGTTTCAGGAGGAGCCCCTGCTATCCACTCCAGGTAAAAGAACCACGCACGTGGAGCCTGAGGCCTTCCTGAAAGGCTACCAATGCTAAAACACTACTTTCCCTGATAAATACGACACCCTTTGGCCCAGGTAACAGTAATCCTAGCCCTTGGTGCCTCACAGAGAGGGCTTCTGTTACCTCTTGGGCTGGTCTCCTTTCGCGAGGTGAGAAGAGCTCTGCCTCTCTTCCTGGGCCCAGCCGCAGTTTGACATAGCGTAGCGAAGAATGGCATCAGAAACAGTCAAGGGGCTTCGGCCCTGGACACAGGCTTCTATCTCGGGTACTGTCAGCTGGCTTTGCAAGAAGAGGTGCAGCTGGCTGTCTGACAGGAGGACCACACTCTGCAGGACCCTGAGGCAATGAAAGGCACAACACAGAGCATGCCCCTGCAGCACTGCTCTCCATCCCCATCCTCTGAAGGGCTCTGGCTTTAGTGAGCACTGAGGGCAAGAAAGCTGCCTTCCACAAATACCTACACGAGCGGGAATGAGACTAGAGGGCACCTGCCTGGCACCTTCCTCCGCCCCTACGCCTAGAGGCCTGTGCTAGCCTAGCATGTCCACTTACTTTTCAAGGAAATGCTGCAGACCTTGTCGTCGCTTCTCAATGAACTCATCCGAGCTGCCAAAGAAGGTTGACTTTCCAGGAAGTTCAGGTACGGGCCTGTGGAGTCACATAATGTAACACCCACGTTAAGTGCAACATCCAGGACAGTTATTCCAGCCCCAGACAGAGAAAGTGAGAAAGCACCCCTGCTTTTTTGGTCATGCTGCAACCTCTTCTCCTCCATTCTCTTCTCGGGATTTTGGACACACACACACACGGAACTGGCATGTTTTTCAAGCCACCAGGTCTGGGACTTGAACTGTGCAGTTGGCCATGTGGGATCTAGCCTCCTTAACCATCATGCTTTGGGTTGGCCCACAATTAACTCTTTTTTTTCGTTAGAGATTTTCACTATAGGGCACATGCACTCCAGAAAGACAGAGAGACAGAAAAGTGAGAAATTACCTTCTGGGGAATGGCCATGCTGCAATCCCTTCTCCTCCATTTTCTTCTTGGGATTTTGAGCATGCACACACATGCACTCAGTGTGAGGTTTAAGTCACCGGGTCCAGGACTTGAACCATGGTCAACTACATGGGAGTCCAGCGACATAACCATTACACCATCTGCTGGTCTCCACACAATTAGATTTTAATAAGAGTGTAGGGGGACTAACAACTGACTGTATTTCATGTGACCAGACACTGTGCTAAGTGTTTCACAAACATTATCTCATTTAATCTTTCCAAAAAACTCATAAGAGGGACCAGCAGTTAGCATAATGGCTATGTTGTCGCTGAACTCTCATGTAGCCAAATGTGGTTACGTCGCTCCCAGGTAGTCTACTATGGTTCGAGTCCCAGACCCAGTGGCTTAAACTCACGCCGGGCACATGTGCGTGCATGCCCAAGATCCTGAGAGGAGAATGGAGGAGAAGGGACTGCGGTGTGACCATCCTCCCTGGGGGGTGATTTCTCACTTTCTGTCTCTGTCTGTCTCTGTCTATCTGGCAAGCGCCTGCGCCCTATAGCAAAAATCTCTCCAAAAAAAAAAAAAAAAAATACTCATGAGAAAGATATATTATCATCCCTACTTCAGATCAGAAAAGTAAATTCAAGCAAAGCCAGTATTTGAACCAAATCTATGATATCAAAACCAAGTTTTTTTTTTTTTTTTTTTTTGTGAGCTATTTTGCTAAAGGGCGCATGCGTTCGCCAGAAAGACAAAGATAGACAGAAAGCAAGAAATCACCCCCCAGGGGGATGGCCACACCACAATCCCTTCTCCTCCATTCTCCTCTCGGGATCTTGGGCATGCACGCACACATGCCTGGCGTGAGTTTAAGCCACCAGGTCTGGGACTCGAACCATAGTCGACTACCTGAGAGCGACGTAGCCATTACGCTAACTGCTGGTCGCCCAAAACCATGTTTCAATGCTATGTTGTTTACAAAACTCACTTCCACCATCAACTATTATTTTAAGATACAAAAAATTTAGATTTAGAGTATCCTTTTATGAAATTAAGACTCTCTACTCCAGTCCTAGAAAGTCACATGTTTAGCATTTGCTAAAGTGAGGTGGGCCAGCTGGTGGCTTGCTGGTTAAGATGACTGGATCCTACATAGCTAACTGCACAGTTTAGTCCTGGACCCAGAGGCTTGAAAAACACACTAGGAACGTGCATGCCCAAAATCCTGAGACGAGAGTGAAGAAGGCATTGTAGTATGGCCATCCCCTCTGAAGGGTGCTTTTTCTCCTTCTCTCTCCTCCCCACCCCCAACAAGTACACGTATCCTACAGCAAACATTAAAAAAAAAAATGGTGGTTGAGTTTCATCAAGTCCTCCACCAACTCTGCAGACCTCTCTGGCCTCTCTGATGAAGTACAGCACATACTTTCGCAAGACAGGTGTGCCTGGGGAATGTAGGATGTCAGAGGTGAAGAAGTTTAACTGGCTTATGAGGGCCTGCCCCATGACAAAGACCTCATCAGTCCCACATGTTAACTAACTGGTTCAGTCACTCAGTAGGCCATTCATCACCACTAAGCACTCGGTGAGCAACCTACAATGGAATCACTGTTTTAATTCTCTCTACCTTTAGGACATGTCTGGAAGGTATGGGTGAGGATGAGCACCAACAGCCTTTCCTAAGGCTCTGGTATATCTCTGGAAAAGGAGCCCTGTACTAAAACAAAGAAAAACCCACAATTTTACATGTCAAGTGGATAGGAGAGATACTGCCTTTCTTGCTTTTTAAAAAATTGACTATAAGGCACATGAACTCACCTGACTTAAAAACATGATTTAAAAATGCATTTCCCTGGCCATACCCATGGCCTGGTGGTTAAGGGAGTCTAATCCCAAATGGCTGATGGTACAGTCAGAATCCTGGCACCAGTAGCTTGGAAAACACTCCAGGTACACATGTATGTATGTCCCAAATCCTGGCAGGATGAAGAAATGAACAAGAAGGGACTATGGTGGGACCATACCCCCATTAAGAGCTTTCCTCTCTTCCTCTCCTAGTTCTCTGGCAAGAATATGCACATGATAGGGCAAAAAAAGAAAAGAATGCATTTTCCAATTTCCTTAGTGCCTGACATGTTGCAAATTGTCTTCATTGTCAACTCCAGTTCCCCAGTAACCACCTAATAAGCCAGTTTCAGGCCCAAGAAGGAAGAACAAACTTACACCAAACCAGCATTTCTCTGTAGCTGCTTTCTCAGCCACACAAACTCACGATAGCGTCGCCGCACACAGGAAGTCTTGGCAGTAAAGGCCTTGCTGTTGGTCTATGGGAGGAAACACAGGAAGAGAGTTTAGTGGAAAAGACCAAGTCACATGAGCTCCCCATCATCTCTCTCAATGACGAGCCAACCCACAGGTCACGGTCCTGATCAGGGGCCCCAGGTGGAACAAAGTGCCACCAAGCAGCCTGAAAACACTTTGCAGGCATACCTCCAGCTCTCTTCTTGCCTCTCACCTTTTCTTCTAAACCTTCTGTCTCAGGCCCATCAGAAACACCCACAAATAGGATCCTCTTGAGCACAAGCCCTCAGCCCTGGAGAGTGCCTGATGCACTTACATGCAGGAATATCTTATAATCCACGTAAGAATTCCAGGAGCCCTCATTCTGCACGCGGGGATCCTGAACACGCACCGTAATCACCTCCTGTAGGTCAGAAATGCTTTGTCAGTGTCAGCTCAGCCCCACAGCAAGGCAGCTATGAAAACACAGGTTGCCAGATTTTTCCACTAAGCATCAACTTTAATTTATCTGTTCGTTCATTCAATTCAACAAATATTTACTGAGTGTCAACGATTCTAGGCACTGGGAATAGAGCATGAAAAATCCCTACTGACATTCCAGTATATTCCACCCAACAGAAAAGTTAAGTCAAAATGGAACCTCATTTCCCAGCAAAGCTTCTGCTGCTATTGATTTCCTTCCACTGGCTTTATTTTGGGCTCATCAGAACTACTGAGATATTACTGTAGGAAAAACACCACTGACCAATGATGTGCAGCTGTGTGTCCTCCCTGCTCCTAAATTCCCCCCTCCCACTTTTGCCTACCTGTTCCCTGGAGACCACCTCTTACCTCCTGCTCTTGGCTGTCCGACATCCTACGCCCTACGCCCATTGGAAGAAAGCATCTGATGAGGGTCAGAGGACACAGGAACAATCAGTTAGTATGCCTATGCTCTTACCACTCTACCAGGGTAAAACCCTGAAAGTTCCTGATACGCCCCTCCTGGGGAAACCCAAGAAAATTTTTGTTCTTGTGTAAAATTGAAGAGGAAGCAAAAAAAAAAACTCCCCCACATTAGCTTAGGGCCAAGCTAAAAGCCCTTCTCAGACCACTGCCAGTTCCCTCAACTTAAGCCAGCTCTACCCAGAACATGTTGGCATCTGTAGAGAGTTTTGTTTCAGGTAGTCAGAGCAGGCACATACAGTTAGATGTAAAACTTTTGCCTTGAGGACTGCGGGTGCAGCAGCATCTGATGGGCACTCAGAGCACAGCTTTGAAAGTGAGCCTAACAGTGCCCCCTCCCGGCTGTCTGGAGACAACCAAGTCCCCACGAACACCAGCGCTCCTCATCTCTGTCTTGCTAACCAGTCACCACCCCACAGGTGAATCACAGAGCTGGGGCACTCCACGGAGCGTCTGAGTGGATAGCCTAGTTGCAGCCTTTCCTTATCAAATCTGTTCTCCGGAGCCCAAGCCAACAGTTCTAATCATTTCCTCTCTTGAAATGCCATCCGGTTTGTACCTCTGCCCAAGCATCCCGCAGCTGCACAGGTCGACTCAGGATGCGTTCCGCTCCTTTGTAAAGATTCATTAAAGCCTAAGTCCCTGATTTCCCCCAATGTGGCAGTTTACATGTATAGCGACATCGCCCACTCCGACAAGGGGACCATGAAGACTGCAGCACAGGGTTACTCAAGTCCAAAGGGGCCCATGATGTCACCTTCTGTTAAAATACAGCACTAATCTTGTTACTTCTAGAACCACTCCAACAGCATCCACCCTGGCTGCTGCCTCCACCCCCTTCTCCTCTCTTAAGAGCGGAACAATAAGGTTTAATTTCCCTTTCCAATTTACCTTGAAATGAAAACTGACTTCAGCCAATATGTACTGCCAACAAATGATCCGGGCTGGCTCCTGGGAAAACAAGACTATCTCTAAGCTCTCCCTCTCCTCCTCCTATGCCCATTCACACACCCACTCATTTACAGTCCCACAATTAATTTTAAACACATTCTCTTATTAGTTCTGCCTTACCATTAGAAGAGTGTATAATGAGTTTTCTTCTGTTTTATGTTTTGCTAACACAAGGATAACGTTTCAAAAGAAGGGAAACTCATTTGCACCACAAAATTAGCAGAGCAAACAGCTTTTCTGATTCTTTCCAACATACCAGAAGGCCTGGCTACAGACAGGCATTGCATGCAGAGACAAAGCTGCATGGCATATGACAAAAGTGGACCACACTGTCACCCATATCCATGGTTGCATGATTTCAATGTCATCTTAAACAGTATTCTTGCTGACAGTCTTTTTCATCTGATGCAGTCACTGCCTTCGAGGGGTCCTGAACTCAAAGGCAGAAAATTCCAATTCTATAACTGATGTGTAGCATTCCAGATGTAAACAGTCAGATGGCTGTAACCACAAAGAGCAGACTGACTTGCTGTGAACAATTAACCTCCTCAGATTAAAAAATTTTTTCCTGGGACCAGCAGATGGTGTAATGGTTATGTCGCGGGACTCCCACGTAGTCAACCGAGGTTAGAGTCCCAAGCCCAGTGACTTGAAACTCACGCTGGGTGTGTATGTGTGCATGCCCAAGATCCCTAGAGGAGAATGGAGAAGGGATTGCGGCATGGCCATTGCCCCGGGCGGGGGGAGGGGGGTGACTTCTCACTTTCTGTCTCTCCTGTGAGCCCACTCACAGCAAAAATCTCTTTAGAAATTTTTTTTTCCTCTTCTCTTTTCAGGCTTTTGGTAAACTGCCAGCACAGAGGCAGAGTTAAGTATTCTGAAGTGTCTTCATAAAACTAGTAATAGGAAAGACGATGACGAAGAAATCATAGTCATCTAAGCACTCAATGGAACTCACACATCATATCCAGCCCTTCAAAGATTTGCCACATCAGGGCCATAATTTAGTAACCAGGTGGACATCATACCCTTGGTCTCAACAAGAGTTTGTGTAGGTGGGGTCCCTACACCCCTTCCATGCAGAAGTTCTCCTTTCCTTTGGAGCCAATACACACTTAGAAACAAGGACTATAAACTGGCCTTAAAAAGAAATCCCTGAATACCCAAGATACTATATATTTAGACATCTAAGTTTAAAGAGCAATAAGAAAATTTCAGTTATAACTTTCCTTAAAGACACTAAAGCAAACACAAAAGCCTAGTGATTTCTAGTAACTGTTCTCCATCAGCTTCCTTCCCAAAGACACCACTCTTCAGAAGCAAATTAAGCTCACTTCTAACCTTGAAGGAGAAGCAGGAAGTTCTTAACATTAACTCTAAAATCTGAGAGACAGATCTGTGTGTTTTCCAGGTAAGGATGGATTCTGTGACACCCCACCCCTGCTAGTTTTACAACTTGAGCTTTTCCTGGGCCCTTTCGATTACACCTGAAATTTCCTTTTCTTTCTCTACCTGTGCCAGCACCAATAGCTCTGGTGAGAATTTGGGGGGTTTTTTGTTTTGTTTTGTTTTTTGCTGTTGACAAAGTAGATTCATCCTAAAGCTTGTAAAGTGTTCCAAGGTCCTAACAATCCCAGGTAGCAATTCAAGTCATTGGCCTCGTTATTTTCTCTCCATTTAAACTACTACAAGAGACAGGTTAAAAAGCAAATCAGCAAGCCACAATAGTTAAAAGGGAACATTTCAGCAGGCTTATGAATACGATCTAAGAGTTTTCCAGCTAAGCAAAATTCCAGGTTATTTCTAAGGCCCATATGTGATGTTTAAAAGGTGCAACAAAAGACAACCATTGGTTTGGGGAAAAAATAAAAACAAATGTTGAAATTAAAAAGAAAAAAAGGAAATTAGATGATAAAAGTAGAAGGAGCTACCCAGACTCCCATCCCTTCTTACTCATTCTTCAGCCGTTGGTGCCAAATGGCAAGTGGCAACTGAAAAAGCTCTTTCCTAAATACCTACAGGTGCTAGAGAAAGCTCCTCTGTCTAACCAAGCTCTGTGTGATGTCCACCAAGCAGCTCAAGTCCATCTTCCTGTCCATCTGTAACCTGCTCCTCCTTCACTTAGAAGGTTTAAAGTAACAAAGGCCATCACAGTCTAGCACAAGAATCCCGTATCCGGTAAAATGCTTGCCATTGCCCCCTAGTCCTTGCCGCTTGGATAAAAGTCCTCAAATTCTTATTATGGCCACTCCCCCTCCATTCTTAACGAACCAGGAGAAAAAGGCTCACACGACCCTTCTTGTCCTTTCCCGATTAAGCTAGAGAAATGGGAAAGAAGAAACCCTTACTTTCAAAGTAAACTGGAAAGCCAGGTTTCCTTCCTTGGATCCCTAACACGTCCTCGCCTTCCTTCCGAGGGGTGAGACAGCCTCTTCCCTAGACATCCAGCAAGGCCATCCCTACTACCACTGACGTTCCAGCCCGCACCACTCTCTCCCGAGGCCCACGCCCTCTCACCTGAGAGCCGCACCAGCTCCCCACAGCGACACAGCCCGCGCCCCACCATACAGCCAGAGTCACGGCTTCTCCTTCCGGGTGAGTCGCCGGCGCCCCGGTGCACGACGGGAGACGGCTCCCGAGGTGTCGAGGGGAAACGCCCCCCCCCTCCAGCCAATCTCGGGGGTCCAGAACGCCCCGCGCCGGCGAACTGGGACTCTTAGCAGAGATTCTAGCACCCGGACGGTGGGGCCCCGCCTAGCCCAGGGCCCAGACTGGCGTTGGGATGCCCTCCTCGACTCCCTTGGGGGCGCGAGGGTGGATGCGAGTGATGGGTGGCGAATGGGCTCTGATGTCCAATCCGAGGCCGCGACCCGCCCACCCTGTCACGTGCGGCCAATCAGCGACCATGGAGAGTCGTAAAAGGTCTGCAGGCGCGTTCCCCAGCAGTGAGGCGAAGAGCGAGTGGGTTGTTGCTGCGCTAGTTCTGCGAAGCGCAATCTGGAGTGTGGAAGCTTCGGGGACGGTGACACATTCTTGGAGTCTCATGAAGTCCCCAGAGAGTTTCCATTTGAACTCCATGGGTTGCAGTTCCTTGTGGAGATAACAAGGGGACTCCCACACAGATAAAACCAGAGTGTGTCTGAGCAAAAACCAGACCTGAGTGTATCCAACAATTCTGTTGAACCCCTGAAACAAACCCAAAGAAAGATTATGCAGCTGCTTAGCAAGAGAAAGCTGCTGAATATGTTGAAGACTTTCTTTTTTAATGTTCAAATGTCGAATCTGTGTCCCGATTCTCCAGTCAGCCTCCCAAGAAGCTGGAACTACAGGCACCTGCCACCACGCCAGGACTTTTGGGTTGGGTGGAATCCAACAGGGCCTCCCTTGTGACTTCAGCCTGCCAAGTAGCAGGATCAAGAGTGTTAAAATGTCTTTTAACAATCAGTTTAAAGATAATTTTAGCAAAGATACCATCAAGGAAAAAGTCACCGTCATAAATACAAATCCTGGCATTAAGACTACCTGAGTGCAATATCCAGCACTACACTGACTGTGTGGCCTTGAACTGGTCCTAAATCTTTGAAGGACAGTTATAAATCCAATGGTAAGATCCTCATCTGTAAAGTAGAAATTATTGCACAGACTTCAAAGCAGTGTTTCTCAAACTTGTTCATCTTAGGATCCCTTTACATTAAAAAAAAGAAAGAAAGAAAGAAAAAGAAAAAGAATTCCCAGAGGGCACATGTGCTTGCCAGAGACAGAAACAGAGAAAGTGTCCCTCAGTGGAGCATGGTCTCGAGGCAATTCTTTTTCTCCTCCATTTCTCCACTTTGTTAGGATTTTTGGCACACGTACAGCTCATTCACACTGGCCTTTTCTTTTGTTTCTTCTCTTCAGCTTTGGCATAGGGCACATGCACTTTCCAGAGAAAGATAGAGAGAAAAAGAAAAAGTGAGAACTCACCCACCCCCCACCCTACCCCACAAAGGATTGCGACTCTGCAATCCCTTGTTCTCCATTCTCCTGTCAGGATTTTGGGCATGCTCGCAACACACTTGGTGTATTTCTCAAACCATCAGGTTTAGTACTTGAGTTGGCTATGTAGGATATAGCCACTTTAATCAATACACCACCAAATGAAGAAATCTTTAACAGCAGAATTTCAAGTAGCAGTCAAAATGAAAGAATTTCAGTTTGAAAGAAGATGTTTTAAAAGTTCTACAAGTCCTGGGAACCAGCAGTTAGTGTAATGGCTATGTCGCTGGATTCCCACGGAGTTGACCGTGGTTTGAGTCCCGAACCCGGTGGCTTAGAAATCACGCTGGGTGTGTGTGCGTGCGTGCCCAAGATCCAGAGAGGAGAATGGAGGAGAAGGGATTGCGGCGTGACCATCCCCCCTGGGGGGTGATTTCTCGCTTTCTGTCTCTATGTCTCTCTCTGTCTGTCTGGCGAGCGCACGCGCCCTATAGTGAAAATCTTTCAAAAAAAAAAAAAAAGTTCTACAAGTCCTCTCTACTCCTTAAATCACATCTCAGAATGTGCTGAAATAACTGTTTTCTGAGTGCCAGTTATGTGCCATTCCCTTTATTCAACATTACTGTTAATTCCACAGAAATGCTGCAAAGCAGGTCTAAAATAATATTTTTGTGGGTGTTTTTTGTTTTTTGTTTTTTGTTTTTTCTAGGTTTTCATAGTGGCTAAGGCACAAAGAAGCTAAGCAGCTTGTCTGGTGTTATACAGCAAGCAAATAATAGAGACAAAGAGAATCCAGTTCAGCCTGATTCCCAAGACCGTGTTCCTTTTTGCAACATCACACTTCCTTCCCCATATTGACTTGTGACTTTAGAAACTTGGTGTGATGGATCCATTTCCTGTGGACATACACAATGTCACTTCAAATACTGTCTTAAACAAGATTGTTATGACTGAGTTGTCATTACCCTTAGAAAAAAGGAAATGCTGAGGGTCTGAATAGCTTAAAACGTCTCTAGACTTATGGGAAGAGAAAAGAACTAAACTCATTTAATCCCAAACGGTTTTCAAAACGAATACTGTTAAATATAGAAACTTCAGGTTTGTGAGTTTGAAACCCATCCCTGGCAGAAATCCAAATTAGCATAAAGAGAAGGTGACTTTTAAGTTCCTTAATTCAAGAAGGTATAAAACACCAGGGCAGGATGGCTGTCCTTACATTAAAATACCCACATAAGGGACCAGCAGTTAGCATAATGGCTATGTTGCTGGACTCCCATGTAGTCGACCACGGTTCGAGTCCCAGACCTGGTGGCTTGAACTCAAGCCGGGCGCGTGTGCATGCGTGCCCAAGATCCCGAGAGGAGAACGGAGGAGAAGGGATTGCGGCATGGCCATCCCCCCTGGGGGGTGATTTCTCGCTTTCTATCTCTCTGTCTCTGTCTGGCAAGTGCACATACCCTATAGCAAAAACCTCTCCAAAAATAAATAAATAAATAAATAAATAAATATCCACATAAAAGCCATAATGTACTAAAAACTAGATATGCTAAATCTGAAATGATTGTCCTGTAATGTACAGTTTAAGAAACTGATGACAGAACCAGCTGATGGCATGGTGGTTAAGGCATCTGGACCCCCTGTGGCCAACTATGCAGACTGAGGCCTGCACCCGGTGGCTTAAAAAACACACTGGGCCCATGAGTGCACCCCAAAATCCTGAGGGAAGAATGGAAGAGGAGGGATTGTGGCATGGCCATCCCGCCAGGGAGTGACTTCTCACTTTCCTTGTCTCTGTTGAGTGCATGTGTACTATACCCAAAGAAAAAAAATTTATAAACAGTTTGCATCTTTAAAAAATGTTTTTAAATAGAAATATCAATTGAGAATCTAAGTGAATCCCTAGCACTGGGGTGAGTGGTCAATAACAGTAGCTACTATTATTTTAAGTAATTTTCTCATCATAAAAGTTATTCAAAAAAGGACACTTCTGGAGGAAGCGAGTAGATGAATTTTTGCTTTTTTTATGGAGAACCAATCCCAACACCTCAGGAAGAATTGTTCTTTTCTTTCAAAGCCCTTTTAGCTAAATTCTATTATTACATTGCTGGGCTAGGTCTCTTAAGTGGTGGTTGACCAGAGCCCAGAAGAGTACCTGACTCGGCAAAACTGTTATATAATGCAGACTCTTGCATGTTGGGATAGAGTAGTTGCCTTTCCCTCTTTCAGGAGGCTACTTTAATATTCTAAATGTCACCTCCTCCTGGTAGAAGTTATTTTCATTTCCTGATTGGATGGGGAAAAGGAGAATAAGGGAGAGTGGAAAAAAAAAAAAACCCACACACAAATCTGAGTCCTGTAGGTGGTGTGGTGGTTGAGGCACTGGATCCCACATGGCCACCTTTGCAGACCCTGTGGCTTGAAAAAAGCAACAGGTACATGTAATTGCCAAATATCCCAAGAGGAAGATAGAGGGGAAGGGATTGCAGCATGACCATCCTCCCCAAGGGCAGTGATTACTCAGTTTCCCTCCCTCTCTCTCTTTGGCAAGCATACACGTCCTATAGTAAAAATAAAACAAAAACCCTACCAATCTGAGGTGAAGAAAAGAGATGAAGGAGGACCAAGTGGTGGTACGCTGGTTGGTGCAGTGGTTAAAAAGGTTCGATCCCAAATGGCCAACTTGCCAGTTCCAGTCTTGGACCTACCAGCTTGAGAAATATTCTGAGTGCCTGTGTATGCCTGCCCAAAATCCCAAAAGGAGAGTGAAGGAGAAGGGATTGCAGTTGTGGGGCTGCCTCACTTTCTCTGTCTTCCAGGACCACACATGCCTCATAGCAAAAATTAAAATGAAAAAAAAAATAATAAAGAAGATGAAGGAAAGCTTACTTGACCAGTTCCATTTTGTCAGGTAGAAAGACATCTCATTTGTTCTCGAAATCGTTTATTCAACAGATATTGACTGACAACTGAACGCTGAGATTGTACTGGGCATTGGAGATACCTGGCAAACGACACATATAAGGTTTCTGCCTTTCCTAGAGTTTAGAGTCCAGAAGGGAGACAGGTATTAACTAATGACAATAAAGAGTGGGAATGTTATGATGGGAGACCAAATTTCCACATGAACAGATTTGGGGATGGCAGCCTACTTTGAATCAGAACCAGATCTCTTGTCTCAAAGAATTAATAGCGGTTTTTGCTTAGTTCTTTGGGGTGTAATTGGCTGAAGGTTAATTTCAAAGAGATTAAAGGATGGGCACCAAAACCACCTATTGGAGAAGCCAACATAAACGAGGAAATTCAGGAAGCCATAGCGATGCCTCGGAGGGACCCAACCTATTCTAGGAGGCCAAAGGTCTCTGAGGGTAAACCGTCCAAACGCTGAGAAGCAGGAGCTTTATAGAGATTTGAGGAAGCAGTGATTGAGGATTGAGATTATTGGCAATTTCACAAAATTCTGGTGAGGAACCTGTCTGGATTTAAAACTTTCGAGAATGTGAATTACAACCTGCATATATATTTTTGGGGTTTTTTTGTTTGTTTTTTTTTTTTTTTAGACCAAGCATCCAGTGACTCGCTTGTAAACTCGCTGGGGGGGTGCAAAATTGGCAAGTTGCAAAGTTCTGTAAACCACTGCCGCTCCGCCGAAGCAGTTTAAATACTCCCTACAACCCTTGCAAGCCGTGCGTCCGGCGTGGGACGCGCGCAGCACTTCGGGCCTTGTAGTCTTAAACTGACTCAGTCCCATGGTGCCGTGCGGCGGGTCGTCGCGCCTGCGCGGTGCGGGCGGCGGGCAGCGCGTAGTGCGAGGCTCTTTTGTTCCGTAGAGGGGAGGGCCGTTGGCCGGGGCCTGCGGTACGCCGCATCTGTGAGGGGCTCTACCGCGGCCACCGGCTTGTTGTTTACCTGGGCGCCACTCTTGCGATTAGCTCGACTCCACGCTCCAGAAGCGCGGCACCGATTCTTCTCGGGCTTTGGGCGCTGCTCTGAGGTGAAAAGTCCGCTAGAGGCGGCGCGGGGGGAAAGGGGGGAGGCGCGGCGGCGGCAATGGCAGGAGTCGGTGAGGGACCGCGGACTAGCGGCGGAGGCTAGTTGTGTTTGGCGCCCTGCCCCGCCACTTCCCGCGCGAAGCTCTCCGCTCGACGCAGAGGGGTCGGGCGTCCACTGCGTGAAAGATGGAGAGGGCGGGGCGCCTAATCCGGGGCGAGAGAATGAAGCGATTCCGGGTGGGCCGAACACTTGGGGCTCGCTCTTCGGGGCCTGGGCGGGACGAGACAATGCTACCCGGGTTGGGTGGGCAGCTGTGGGTTTGCGTTGCTGAGGAAACACTTCAGGAAATCGGGAAGGGGCAGGCTTGGTTCGTGGATTCGTATGGGGAGGGGGGGCTGACGCTTGTGAACCTCGAGGTTTAGATGTTTGTGACCCGAGGATATTGGAGTCGGCAGGGGCTACCAGGAGAGTCTCGCTAGCAGCACGACGAAGTAACTTCCAGCATGTGGGGTGTGTGTGGGGGGCGGTCCTGGGCAGCCCGTGGTATCCTTTTACGGGAGATCTGTTAAATGAACTGGGGAGGGGCAGGTAAATGCTTGGCCAGGTATAGAGGCGGTGGAGATTTAGGATAAATAGGGCCGAGATATCCCCATAACATTTCTGTAAAGTATGGAAGTAAAAGGGGCAAACAGGCCGCCCTCGATTTCTGATGGATCTTTAAGTTGCAAAGGCTTTAAGAATGATGTGTAAAGAAAGGATTGAACAGACTTTCTTCACTTTCTCAGGTTTCTTCCACTTTAACCATGATTCCTTCGGGGAATTAGTAAAAATCCAAGTGCAGCTCTTGCTTTGATTCAAAATCCATTGCATCGGGACCAGCAGTTGACATAATGGCTATGTCGCTGGACTTCCATGTAGTCGACCGCGGTTCGCGTCCCGGACCCAGTGGCTTAAACTTACGTTGGGCGCGTGTGCGTGCGTGCCCAAGATCCCGAGAGGAGAATGGAGGAGAAGGGATTGTGGCTTGGCCATCACCCCTGGGGGTGATTTGCTTTCTGTCTCTCTGTCTTTCTGGCCAGTGCAGGTGCCCTATAGCAAAAACCTCTCCAAAAAAAAAAATTGCGTAAGTTTTTATCTGGTATTATTATTGGTCTCTCAAAGTGTGGTAGACTGTGAAATTGTGTAGGCAGACTGTGAGTGATGTGGGAAATTGGGACACAAAGGGGAAAAGTAAATATGTGAGATTGTGAGTTAATGGTTTATTTTTCCTTGGGTTCTTGTGGTTTCTTTAGCCAGCCTTTCCTTGCTGGAAAATTTGAATAAAATGAAGCTTTTTCAAAGTTTCCTGTGAGGTTTTATTTATTTATTTTTAATTGATGGGTGTTATATTTTTGGCAGAATTGGTATAACTCAGTTGAGACAGACTTTACAAAAAGGTCGGTTGTACCAGAACCAGTGCCTAGGGGTAAATATCTAGGAATCATAGTAGCACTTTGGAATAGTTATTCCTTTTTTTTAAATGATGTTTTAAAGAATTATTTATTTAACTTTATTCATTCATGTATTTTTAATTTGACCAGAGAGAGACAGAGAGAGAGAAATTGAGAAGGCAAGCCACCAGGTCTGGGACACAAACCCCAGCGCCTTAACAACCACACCACCTGCAGGTCCCTGGAATAGTTACTTTTAAATGGCCAAGGTTTTGAAGTAGATGCTTGGATATCATCCGGAAATTAGTGCCTGTGTGCCTCCCTGGGTACCTCATGGACATTTTTGTGGAAAGTGATAACAATTTTTTGAAAGGCATCTGTATTGGAATTAGTTACTCCTTAATGAAGCTTTAGAGCAGTGAAGGATCTTGTCATTTCCCCTGTCCCTTGTGGCGACATTATTCTTGGAGGGCTGCTATAATCTAAATTGTCTTTTATCGAAAATTTAAATAATGCTAGTGCTTCTAACTTATTTATTGAGGGAGACCAGTAAAGGCACCCTACCTCTTGTTCTGCTTTTTCAAATATAGGATAGCTATAGTTTTCTAACCATACATTCAAAAAAGGGAGCAATCATTGTATCTTGTACCCATTTTAGGGATTAGGATAATATTCCCTTTTTTGTTCACATCATTTTAAAAGAACTAAACCAGGGACCAGCAGTTAGCGTAATGTCTATGTCGCTGGACTCCCATGTAGTCAGTCGACCGTGGTTCGCGCCCCAGATCCAGTGGCTTAAAACTCATGCCGGGCGCGTGTGCGTGCGTGCCCACGATCCCGAGAGGAGAGCAGAGGAGAAGGGATTGCGGCGTGGCCATCCCCCCGGGGGGTGATTTCTCGCTTTCTATCTCTGTGTCTCTCTCTGTCTCTCTCTGTCTGGCGAGTGCGTGTGCCCTATAGCTAAAACCTCTCCAAAAAAAAAAAACTAAACCATTTTTGTCATGATCTTGTAGTTTATCAGCAAAATCTCCCATTTTTATATACTACCTGTGGTGATGTAACAGGTTTTCTGTTAGACTTGGTGATTTCTACTTCATAGGTTATTTTTCTGAAGAGGTTTTGGAGTAAAAGGCTAATGGCTACTTTATGGCTTCCACAAAGAGCACCATACCTATCTATCCAGTGTCTGGCACAGAGTATACCTTTCACATGGTTCATGAATGAATAGGCTTGGAGATCCTTTCTGAGAATTCATGTGTTAGCAGAATTAATTAATGCACATTTATATAGTAGTTTGCCTGTCTTATACATTTGGCAGAATAAAATTTGCCTTTGGCATGCTTTTCTTAGCCTTGGTTTTTAATATACTTATCCTGGTATTAAATACCAAAAGGTATGCAAGTTGCAATTGACTGACCACTTTAAATACCTTGGCCCCAGTTTATGGGTTCCAACAACAAGCTATATAGCTTGTTTTTTTGTTGTTGTTGTTGTTGTTTTTTCATTTTTGCCCAATGGTGAGTACAACCACCAGAGAGAGAAAAGAGAAAAGGAAAGTGAACAAGCAGTCCACATAGGAGACAGTCATACTGCAATCCCTTCTCCCTCTCTCCTTTAGGTCTTTTGGTCATACACGCATGTGCACCTAGTATGCCCCTGGAGCCACCCAGTCCTGGGCTTGAGCCACACAGATGAATGGAACTGCTTTAAGCACCTTGCCACTGGCCAGCCCTGTGTGTGCATGCCAAAGATCCCAAAAGGAGAATGGAGGAGAAGGGATTGTGGCATGGCCATCCCCCTGGGGGGTGATTTCTCTCTTTCTGTCTCTCTGTTTCTGTCTTTCTGGTGAGTGCATGCACCCTATAGCAAAAAAAAAAAAAAAACTCTCAAAAAAAATTATTATTTTGTCATTATCTTTTTCTAAAAGATTTTTTGTTGTAGGGTGCATGTGCTTGCAAGAAGAGACAGACAGAAAGCAAGAAATCACCCCCAGGTGTGGAGGGGGAGCGGCCACACTCCAATCATTCCCTTTCCCCCTATTTTCCTCTCAGGATTTAGGGCGCGCACACACATACCCAGTGTGAGTTTAAAGCCTCCAAGTCCGGGACTTGAACTGCAGTTGACTATGTGGTAGTCCGGCGACATAACCATTATACCATCTGCTGATGTCTTTATCATTATTATTTCTTTTTAATTTGTTACAGGGCACATGTGCTCACTAAAGAGAGAAAAAGTGAGAGAGAGTAAGTGAGAAAGCAAGCCACCAGGTCCAGGACTCAAATCATGGTCAGCCATATGGAAGTCCAGCACCTTAACCACCACGCCACATGCTGACCCTGTTATTTTGTTTTATATATATTGTTTGTTATCTGTGAATGCTTTGGTCTCTCTTTTTTATTCCATTGTGGTCATAATTCTTTTCGATTTAATTAATTTTTTTAAAAGCTATTTTGCCCTAGGGCATGTTTGCCCTTTGGCGAGAGAAAGAGACAGAAAGAGAGGGAAAGTGAGAAATCACTCCTCAGGAGGGATGGCCACACTGCAGTCCCTTCATCTCTATTCTACTCTTGGGATTTGGGGCATGCACACACATGTACCCAAAGTGTTTTTAGGCACCCCTGGGTCTGAAACTCAAGAAACCTCAGAGTAGTCCATATGGGATCTAGTACCTTACGACCATGGCACCTGCTGACTCCTTAATTTTATTTTTAATTGACAATGATAATACGTATTTGTGGGGCACAACTAGTGTTTTGATGCATGTTTCCTTTGTTTTCCTGATAAGTGTTTCCAATATGATCATAATCCTGGTCTAACTTTCTATAATCATTTATTACATCTTAAATCAAACTTTTTTAAAAAGGATTATTTTATTTAGCTTTATTTATTTATTTATTTCAATTTGACCAGAGAGGGACAGAGAAAAAGTGAGAAAGCAAGCTGCCAGGTCCGGGACTTTAGCTGCAGTCAGCCATGTGGAAGTTCAGTGCCCTTAACCTGCCGGCCTTAAAGTAAACTTTGAAAGAGTTACTTGAAGCATCACTGTGTCCTGCTAATCTTGGTAGGCCCTGTGGCCTCTCAGCCTAAAGCCATATCCATCTGTGTCAGCGTATTGGATGGGAGTTAGTTACGTTTCTGAGCATATCTCAGATAAAATTCAAAGCATATGCCGGTAGTCTAGCCTTATGTCCTCCGAATACAAGAGCAGGACTTCCTTTAAAAATAAAGACTCCTGCTTGCTGGGTAATGTGGCATAAGTTTGTGTTTTCTCATCAGTCAAGTCTTCAGTCTGGAATGCATTTGGTTCATAGACAGCCACAGTTAACACATAGATTAAAAGCAGTTTAGAAATATGACTGTCAGGACCAGCAGTTAGCGTAATGGCTATGTCGCTGGACTCCCATGTAGTTAACCGCGATTCGCGTCCCAAACCCGGTGGCTTAAAACTCATGCCAGGCGCATGTGCGTGCATGCCCAAGATCCCGAGAGAAGAATAGAAGAGAAGGGATTGAGGCATGGCCATCCCCCCTGGGGGTTGATTTCTCACTTTCTGTCTCTCTGTTTCTGTCTT